CGATTCCTTTTCGAGATATGGCCCTCATTCTACCTCCATTCATAATCGCGGTGCCTTATTGAACTCGTTGGGGCCTATACAAAGACTGGTTGGGGTCGGCCAATGTACAAATCAGCATTTCAGCTTCCCAAACCAGTCTGATACCGCTTTACCGCCCTTGGTAGGAAAGCTTGGCTAGTCTAGGCGGGAGCCGGTTCAGATTTGTTTATTCCCTACAATCATTTCCCTCTTGGCCCCAGCCCTCGCGCGGAATAAGCGTGTCACTTGTCACTGAACGAGCGCCGCTTCATGCCTTCTCAGAGCTTCTTGGCGTCCATCCCGTTCAGGCATTTGATAGGGAGAACTGACATCCCCATACTAGAAGGGCTGAAGAATGAGAAGGAGAATAGTTTGTATTGAAGAGAATACCTAAATGGTTGGCTCGCAGCGGCTCCCCCCTCCCCCTCGTCCAGTGGTAGCTGGCGTCGCTTACCCCATTCACCATCCTTAAATCGAATCCCAGATCAATCCTGCCTGCTCGGGTGTCCAAAGCCACCTTTTCTACAGAATAGGTAAACTACTACCAAACGCGTCTGGGAAGATCGATAGACTTGTGCATCCGCTGCTCCAGAAAGTTATTGTGTAAGCTAAATTGCATTCAGAGCATCGCATGACTATAAATGAGGGCCATATACGTGGAGCATATCAAGAGGATGACGTACAATGTTAGTTACGGCTTGACCCAGGCAGTAATCGAACCCACACCTTACGCTTTCTAGGCGAGTGCACTATCCGTTACGCCACCAGGGCAAAGAGCAGTCACAGTCCTGCTCTGTGCGTAAGCTAAGCCATATCCGGACAAGGCTGCATTTGGCTCAGTGCAATCCTGTTTTATACAAATTATGGTCGCCTGTCAGCTTCCACACTTAGAAAGGGCTAGCGCCGCGCCAAAGCCGCCCTTCCTCCCCTTCGCCCACCCCCTTCCCCCACCCCGGCTATCGCCTAAGCATTGGGAGTGAAGGCAGTTGTAAGGATAGATGGCATGCATAGCCTATACCTATGCACTCTTAATGTGATCTTACAGACAGTGGTTGAAGAATAATCCCCGAAATTGTTGAGGAAGATTTGAACAACTCACCTGCAGCAGTCCATCCCAGGTATTCACTGTGTTATGAACAGCATGCAGTTGCTGGCAAAGCAGCAACAATAGTACTACCTTCAGCATCCTATCAGCCTTTGGCTACTAAATTACTATTAGTTTTCAAGTTTTTCTCGTATTACATTTCCCTCTCCATATCAAATATTGATAGACCGTAGTGCAGCTGAAGCAAATTACGGTCAGGGTACAGCATCGTGATGTGTGAAATGGTAGTGTAGGTACGACCCCCCTCCCTCCGAGAGAGGGTGTCAGTACGACCCCACCTAGATGAGGGTCTCGGTACGACCCCTCCCCTTTCCCCAACACTTACCTACAATTTCCCACATTTTCCAGTCCAGTTTTTCATCCAAAAATTTCCGTCAAGCGGGGGCGGGGTCACCACATGTTTCACACAACGATGCTGTACCCTGATTCACAACGCCACTTTTCGTGGGCCGAAAAAGGGAATAATGGACGGGTCGTCAAAGCAGTCCAGAAAAATTGGTTTCAGGGAACAGCCCTTTGAAGGAAAGGTTCGCTATAGTAAATGTCGCTAATGGTACTGAAATATGGAAGAGAGGTTGCCAAAAGGAATGGTCTGCCACTGAAGAGAGAGAAAGGGAACGTCGGTAACACCTCTAATAAAGCCCTTCTGACTCAACCAGTGTACGAGTAAATGACAAAAAACAGGCTGGTGGGACAAGTTCAGTACTTAACTCTATAGCAAAGTTCTAAACCAACGGCCAGGTGGAGTAGGGGAAATCGCCTTCTCGCTCCATTCAGAGCGAACATTTTTCAAA